AAATCGATGAATAAATGATGTGTGGGTACGTTGTATTCGCGGCATTTCTGCAGAATCCATGGTAGTGCGGGCATTTATGAATATTAATAATACCACCTGGTATTGCCCCAAGAAGTCTCTTGCAAATGGTGCTAGGCGGTAGCATAGAAATGTGGAGAGTACCTTGTAGGCGGCGCTCAGCAGTGTGATCGCGCGGAAGTTGTAGCAATCCAATTCTTCGCCATTTGTTATGTACCGCCGAGAGTTTTGAGCGCATGCACTGCAACGAAGTAGTGCGATAAGTGCGGACGTTGATAATGTCGGAGAATAATTTTCTGTTGATTAGAACTTGAGCGATCTGGTTTTCTGTGTGTAGGTCAGGTGACCTCCAGTGGGCTTTGTGGATATCCTTGCGGAGGAAAAGGTACTGCGGACTACCATACCACGGGAGGCCAAAGTTCACGCTGGCCGTTGTCGTTCGACACGGCCATGCAGGCTGTTTGGACCGCTGGTCGGTGTGTACATTACCTCCCGTCCTACGATTTTGACGTCCCGCAACGAATAGGCGTCGCAGTGTATAACGGCCCTTATTCCTCAGCTTGCACATCCTCGCGTTGATCAGCTGCCAACCAATCACGCGTTGGCGCATCTTATCCAGCAGTACAATACCGGTGCCCAGCTCGTTGGTGGTGCCATAGGTCTGGGAGAAAGTAGACGCTCGATGCCCACTTTTCCATAGCTGTTGTCCCGCCCAACAAACTTCTTGCAGTGCTACGACGTGCTTCGAAGTTGCGTGGTTGAAGTTCGTCATAGATTAACCTATCACAACCCGCGAAACCGAGTGATTTGCAGTTCCATGTTCCGAGTTTCCAATCGTAGTCCTTAATTCGTCGCGTAGGTCTGTGTCTATTGTTCCGATTCGTATTTCTTTCTTCGGTATTTGCAGTTTTTTTTTTCCAGGGAAACCTGATATCTATGAAATTGAGAAAAATACCAGACCTCAGAAGAACATTCCCTCTGTATAAACTCATCACTCCTTGTCTATCTGAAATGTTTAATGATAGTAAGCCGAACATGGTTTATGCTTCCCCTAAGCGGTCCCTCTGCATCTGAGCGAATCCACACCAAATAGCGAAAATTATAATTTCTGATTTTATCTCTCAGAATTCCATGAAACTACGCATAATTGATCGCTAGGGGTAATCAACCAAGTATTGTGTCCAATGTTAGAAAAGTTGGCATTTTTTATAAGCTTTCACAAACATAGATTTAAAAATTTTAAAATGCACTTTTTTACTCGATTGTTTTTTTTTTCTTTTTTGAATTAATGTGTTTTTTTTTTCTTTTTTTTTAGTTTCCTACAATTTTGTCTCAGACATCATTTCGATTAGATGACCCGTTGTCGTGCTATGATTAATTGGAAAATATCGAATACGCCGTTTTGAAAAATTAGGTGTCAAAATGGCAAAATTCCAGCAAAAACTTGGTTCATTGCCCTTTATGAACAATTATCCGAAGTTTCATGGAATTTTGAGAGTAAAATAAAATCGATTCGTTAGTTGGCATTGGTTTGCTCATCTGTCGTATCTCAAAAATTTAGCGCAATGGTGGACGTAAATATAATTGCCAAACACATTTACAAATAGTAAAAGATAGTTCAATCTAAGTGGTTAGTGGTAAATATTCCAACGCAATTTATATTGGCCTTGGCCATATAAATATTACTACCCACCCACATTACGTTGGCTCGACTGGCAACACCAGGAGAGCCTTGAGTCCTGCATTAGTTTTTATTCAAATTCTGTTTTCATTCCCACTTTCATTACGAATGTTGATAAACCGCAATACTTAAGATTATGACCGGAATCTAAAGTTGCTAAAAGACGTGTTCAGGATATCATCCACATACCTAAGTATTATAATAAAAGGGATTTTTTGTTACACTGAAAACAAATTTTACTAAGAGAGTGAGTCACTATCACTCATTCGTATGGCGAAATAAGCGTAAGTCACTCAGCGTATGAGTAACCTACGCTTTTAGAAATTTCTCCATACGAATGAGTAAAAGTGAATAAGATTAATTTTCTGTGAATGTAGACTGTAAGTAAGCATTCTGGATCAAATGACACTAGCACTGCATGGTAAGTGAATTGTGAACTAAGAGGCCAACTTCACTGAATACAGAAACCTGCTTTATGGTAATGCTGTCTAGTTAAAACATGGAATTTGAGCTTGACAATCCAATAGGCTTTATGCATCTGAATCACTTTTCCCTAGCCGATATGGAAAGTTACACTAAAAACTAATCTTTTCAGAGAGTGAATCATTTTTTTTAAATGGAAAAAATTCTAATAGCGTAGGTTCTCATGATCTGAGTGACCTACGCTTTTAGAAATTTCTAACAGTTACAGTTACTCATAACTGAGTAAAAGTGACTCACTAGCTGAGTTAGGTTCGTTTTCAGTATACGCTTTTAAACATTTCTTCATGAGAATGAGTAAAAATGACACAATCTCTGAGTTAGTCCCGTTTTCAGTGTACAACGCAACGAAAATCCCTTTTTAGCACTCGGCAGTCAAACAAAGACTGCAGTAAAATTTTCTACGTTTCCCTTACTTAAGGTTCAATTTACTTTGATGCCTTTTGGAAAATCTCAAAAGCAGTCCCTTCCGACGCACTACTTCAGATTGCAAAAAGCTGGCACTATTCGATTCCTTTTGATATTTTACACAAAATGATGCGAGCTTTTTGCAATCCAAAACAATGCGTCGAAAAAAACTGCTTTTGAACCTTTAAAAAATGCATCAAAGTAAATTGAACCTTAAGCATTTAAATTGACATTCTAAGCCTCACTTGTTTTCCTGTATTTTGCTGATATAGGGTTACGGTATGTAATGTGGGTCTAGTCCTTTCATTCGGCCTATCACGCAAATAAATAATTAATTAAGGAATATTACACAAAAAATAAGGAAAATATTGATCACTGATGGTTGATAAATGTGTACCACACACAAATCAATTTATATCACAACATTTCAATACATTTTCAGCTCTCGTAAGTAATAAAACTGGTTGAGAATATCACAATGTTCGGAGTTTTTAGCCGCCATGACTTATAAGGTTAAGATGGGAAGGTTGACTGACGATCATCAAATGGCCTGATTATGGCATTTATTGATTGGAATTACCTGATAATACACACTAGACGTAAAACTTACAGTTGCTGTTTGAATATTTTATGTTTATTTTAATTGTTTAACAACGTTTTCACAAGTAAAACATGGACCCAACTTTAGGGACACATTTCTTTTCTATGTTCCTAACTATGGCCCATGAAATTCATTTGACAGCATATAGCAATAAGAGTAACGTCAACAATGTTGTTTTGCATTTGGATGATAAGGAACGAACAGGAAGGGAGATTTTTTCTGCCAAACCTGTATAATGAACATCACAATGTTCTGATTTAGATATTCTGCGGTCAAAAGACGATAAGCGAAATTTTTAATTTTTAATTTTTAAATTGAGTGATTTAATGTAGTTTTCGTAAAATTTTCTCTAAGAAATGTTTTGAGGAATGAAGAGCATTAAGTTAACAGTGATAGTGATAAAAAAAAATACATCAGAAAACGTTACCAAGAGCGTTTTTTTGAGGATCAAACAAGATAGGACGAAGTTGCATCCATAAATAGACCCAATTTGGGGACAATAGACCCATATTACATACATTTCCCTCGTGAGTTATTGTCTTAAAAAAAGTAAGTTTTTCAACTTTTCGTGGTTTCTGATAGCAAACGACATGATAAGCATATCTAAGCATACCATTTAGCAGTAGAATATCGTTTGCAGGTAAATTCATTGATGAGTTATGATTAAAAACGTAATCGATGGCTGCATATTAGACCGAGGTTAGGGACGTATACCCTAGGTCAATTAATAGAAAAGAGTAAACAGAAAAAAAATGAGTGGTACCGACTCGTCTCTCTGTTCTCTCGATATTCATAGCGTGATTAGTTGATTACGGCTGAAATCTTTGATCAACTTTCAATAGTTAACCATTGATAAGCACCTGTCGTCTTCATACAATACCTAGTACCAAATAAATCTTCCATTCAATTTGAATTTAATTCATAAATGACCATGTTATACCGTTCAAAACCTGACACTATTTCGTAACACATTTTTTTTTTATTTGCACCCCAGTATAGTCCACAAAGACGGGGAGGGGTATGCAAGAACGTTACATCATTATTGCTTGCTACTTCTGACATATTTAGCTTTATTATTTCGCTCGTTGATCGCTTATCATTTTGTCATTTGACGGTATTTTTGCTTCCCTATCTGTTGTTGTAGTTTTTGGCGAACTTAAATTTGTACGAAAAAGGCATTACATGTTTTGTTTACAAAAGCTAATACCTTTTTCTATTGAGTATATTGGTTGATTTTTTTCTTTATCCTGAGTATTGTAGTAACGTAATGTCGCCATTCACAGCTTGTGCTCGTTTCATTGTTCACTGTATACTTATTATCATTATTTTGCAACAACAATCAAAAGCATAATACGTTTAATAATAATGCTATTAGTTTCTGTAGCAATAATTTACGGAAACAAAGGTAATAAGTATGTAGTGACCGGTGAATGGAGCATGAGCGATGAATCGGTTTTTTAACGTCTGTGAATATATTCTAAATATATATGTACAAAGTCTAAAGGGCCACCCACATTACATCCGTTTGCGTTGCGTTGACGTAAATTTGACAGTTAGACAATAGATTTTGCTGTCACTTTGCCGCAACGCGTCCGATCCGGTTCTAATGTGCGTGGGCCTTAAGAATCCTTAAATTGTGCATATGTTTGAGATTCTAAAACGGGGACTAAATCTATCAACAACCGTAGTTCATGTAAAGCTTCTTATTTCAATTCTACCTTTGTTTCCTTGTGTAAGTGCATAACTTATACTGTTTATATAGGTTAATGGTTAAAATCTGCAGAACATTTAGGTATTTTTGCATAAACTCACCTTAACCTTTTGTATAACAACCAGGTGTTCCGAATCCCGCTTGACTTCGTTGGAATACTGTGCTACATCTACCATTGCCTCTTTGGCTCGTTCAAGGCCACGGAAATCATCGTGAGACTATAAAAAAAAAGGTTCAGAGCAATAAAAATAGAAAAAAACAAGGGACTTCCAATTTTAGGATAGCGTGAGCAGTTGCAACTTGTTATAAGGCTATCTTGATGACATTTTTCACAATTATTATCTGCAGGCTGAACAAGGCATTACATTAGAAATATTCTACCGTGACGTTACAACACTGGTAAGATAGGCTGTTTCTATGCACCACCAATGTACAATGCGCTAGGCGATTATGAGAGGCAACGTCAACCAAACCGTTTGTTTTTATCAAAATTACATTTTTTTTTTACATCTCAAATTAACGCATATTGTTATGGGTATCTTGCATATTTCCATCGGGAGGGGTCTTACTTTATTATTTCTCACATATTTGAACGGATTTACAGCCCAAATAGGACAACATTAGAAATCCGGAACATCATAACCACTGGGGTAGTTTTATAAATCTTCACTTTTCTTAACAAACATATGTGAAAGCACCAGCCAGATCACTGCAAAATCGATACAGAAAACAAAATATTCCATGTGGATGATGATTACAAGCACCTGCGATGGATACATTAATCAGAAAAGGTAAAAACATTTTCCTCTTCCTATGCTTCACGGCGAAAATTTCAGCCCTCATCACTCTTTTGCTGGTTCCCTTATTCACCACCAGCTGAAACGATCGCTTAGGATATATAGCCACTCTTTATTGTTCCAAATTCAAAACCAAAACAATTCCATAAAGGGTATTCTGTAAAATAGCGCTAAACGCAATCATCACATTAGAATAACCAATTAACTAGAACAAAGATGAAGAGCCAAAGGCTAATCAATTGAAATGTTAAACCAAATGTTGAAACATAAAAAACAGAAAATAAACGTAAATTTTACTACTACTACTACGTTCCAAATTCAACATAAAATAACATTTCATTTTAACCTAGGTGCTCCAGTTTGACAGCTCTTTTACTGGGTGTTAGTTTATGTTAGCTGATGTTTTCAGTAAAAATATCGTTTGCTGTTTTTCAGTAAAGCATTGGATTGCTGGTCATGATCCAGCAATCCGTTTTACTGATATTGAAAACTTAAATTTGGTGTGATACAGCAAAATAAAATGCCGACCTGCTCGGTTCCAGGTTTACTTCGAGATTGCTTGTTGAAATAAGTAATTACATTTTATTTTTACGCAGGCGTGTACAAGCGTTTTCCTGGATAGTTAACCATCGGGGTAAACCGGACAATGTCAATAATTCATAAAAAATCGTTTTCAATGTTCGGATATACTTAATATTGTGGATGCAATGCATATTATATGTAAAAATAGATCCACCGTCACTGCTAATGATCTGCTCATGTGACTTTATGTGTTTGGATTTATTAGCCTCCTTCCCGGGACATATTCAAACGTTGCCGATGCGTTCTTGGGTCCTCATTATGACCTACAAATATCCAATTTTCATACTGCCGTACTCTAACGGAACTATCCACCTACCCTCTTCTAAAAGATCATTCTCTAGCTAATAAATTATCACACTAAAGCTTCATGTTAGCATTTCCAACCAACTCTGAAAATCGCTAAATTCGCGTATGAAGTAACATAAAAACACTTTGAATGTAAATAAATCAGCGTTTGATGATCATTGTTTACGAAAGCAAAAAAAAAACCCTTACGAAAAAAATATACTGATAGGTACATCCACATCTCTCTCTGTCTATGATGAATTATGTTATAAAGAAATACGGATTGAATTCTCTGTCTGTGCTCCTATTTATGGCTTATCTCAGCCTTGAAAGAACTTCATAATATTCCTATATAGGACTAAACGGATTTTACAGTTAAATTGCCTTTGTTACTTCAATCCTGATCCCTGCTTGAGTTTTAGCGATGAGCTCAAAATAGGAGCGCGAATAGATTCCGCATTTAGCATACCAAAATTAAATCATTCATACATACCGGACTCGTTTCTTGTACTAGTTTATCTAATAAAAGGTGATATTTTAAAATCCTTTGCATAGGAACAGATAGAATGTCACGTAACTGCAGTCGGCCGCCGCTATGCTCTTTCTGGCATTGCTGCAATTTGAAAATAATGATTAGTTTAATTCGATGTAAGGAACAGATATACGAAATTTGCTATACATAAAATAAATGCCTAATAGCGGACAGACAGTATCTTGTAAAATTAACTTATTAAAATTGAACTAAATCTCGGCCTGATTTCTTTCTCTCGACCTAACGTTGTCCACAAAGTCATTTTTGAATATTTGTCATCAATATAATTTGAAATGCTACCAGCACAAAAACTACATCCTATATTCTCGGTAATACAGTTTAATTAGCGTAATGAAAATATGTTGTTAAAATCCAGACTCGATCGAAAAAAACATATATGAGTGCAGGGTTGCTTCCACTCACTTGCTATAAAAAATTATTTTCTGAATTTTGAAATCATTAGACGTTACAATGATATTTTGCACTTATTAGAAACAAGAAGATGTTGAAAGGCAAGTATCTGACACACAAAACCTGTCAACCTCGCTTCCAGAGTGCCACAATCAGCGATTTTACGACTCGTGAGCGTTCACTCAGAGTGAGCGCTCGCGAGTCGTAAAACTCCGATTGCGACTATCTGAAAGCGAATTTGACAGGTTCCATGTGTCAAACACCCGCCTTTCAACCTCCTCCTGTATCCAACAAGTACTAAACATCATTAGAACATCTAATGATTTCAAAATTCAGAAAATCATCCTTTTATAGCAAGTGAGTGGAAGCAAGCCTGTATGAGTGCGCAATCATCAGGAGCTGTGCAAAGTATGGTGCCACCACGGTAAGTAACAAAGAAGAAGTTTCACGAAAATCAATAGGAATTCCAGAAAGATATTCCATAAAGGTCAAAAAAGTTGTGGAACACCATAGTGAGGAGGGACAGGAAAAAGATGAGAAGAGCTTGAAATAGGGGGCATAATAAGCACCCCTTTTTTTCAATATTAAACGTTTAAAAAAAAATACTACATAGGTAGTGCCGAAGACAACATATCAAGACAGATACAGTAGCTTTGCACTCGAGCGAAGGTGGAAGCAACGCATAGAAAAATTAGCAAATCAAGACCAACAATTGAAAATGCCTCAACTCCTTTTTGTAAACAAACCATTTTCTCGAGAATGTTTCGGTTCATTTTTTTCTTCTGATGATGAAACCTTTGCTCTTCAATTCGTTAGAAGCATTTACCGATTTGTGCTAACAAACAATATTTAATTATTTTCCCAACATCCGATCAACAAACCTTCATATTTTAAATACAATGAGTTAAGAATAATTGTTCTAGACGGGGCGAAATCAGCACATACAAATTGATGAAGATTTGTTGCAGGATCAACCTGCGGCAGTTGTTCCAGTTAATCCAATGATAAAAAGCGTTACTACAACCAGTGTAATTCCTACCAGGGTTTTTATTTTTGATGAACGTAGCTTTGTTGATTGTTCGTCATGAAATTCCTAAAATTTTAATCTTTATCTTTTTTTTTTTGTAGTCAAAAATACATCGATGATTCCTTTCTTAGAGGTTTATTTATTGTTTACTAATCATTAGAGCACGTTTAATATAAAAAAGTACCATAACTACCCGTTTTTTGTAGTTATGCTCATTATGACCCATGGGGATGCTCAACTCACCCGTAAATCTAAAATATGCTACCGTTGTCAACCAAATTAAAAACTGTATTTTTAAAGGTCCCAATAAACTAATTTCATACTTTTAATCATCATGTCATAAAAAAAGGTTCTATAACATTCCCCAGAATGCACTATTCCCCAGAAAAGCATTGCCCAGAATGAACCATTCCCCAGAAAAGTATGACATGTATTGACTATTTTTGTTTATTATAGTCACTCCTGGAATCTTCTTAATGGATCAAGGGGGTTTCCCTTCTTTACACGGGAAAAAAAGAGTTCCCATATTCGTGAACCACAGCCGTGAACCATAGTTCACGGTGTATATTTGAGAAAATTTTGTTCTGGATAGCTGGCCGTGATTTTTAGTTCACGGTCCGTTCCCGTTTTCGGGAACGGATTTTTTTCCGAGTAAAAATATAAGAAAAGGAAATAATTATGTACTTCTTTGGATATACGATAAAGAAGGGAATATTCCCTTCTTTAAATACATAAAGAGAACATCATTAATTCGTTTAATATATGATAAAGAAGGGAATATTCCCTTCTTTGAAAATATAACAAAAGGAAATAATTAATTCTTTGGATAAACGATAACGAAGGAAATATTCCCTTCTTTTAATATACATATAAGGAAAATATATAGGGTAAAGCGCTACTTCGTCGTAATCGTCCATTTCCGTTCTATCGATCAGAAAAGATCAATAATATCAATTTTTTTTTTTTTTTTTTTTTTTAACTCTTTATTTGTTCCAAATTCAAAAAAAATTACATTTCATTTTAACCTAGGTGCTCCAGTTACTGCAGTAACGTACCAGCCTTAATTGTTATGATATATATCTAAGTGTTTTTACATTGTTCATGTCTTGGCAATTCAGTATTTTAAACAGGTTTTTTAACCTGCATGTCAGTATAACAATTGATATCTTAAAACTAAAAACTAAAACTAAATCTTATCTAAGTATAAAGGGAATTAATCGTTGCAATTGAGGATTGCAACGATTTTTGCCTGAAATTATTAATTATTTTGTTGGACATTTGTGCTAAAGTCTCAACATTCGAAATTCTATGTACTTCGGTTGTACTGTACCAGGGAGGCAACTTCAAAATCATTTTCAGAATTTTGTTCTGAATCCTTTGAAGTGCTTTTTTCCTGGTAGTGCAGCAACTAGACCATATTGGCACAGCGTAAAGCATGGCCGGTCTAAAAACTTGTTTAAATATTAGAAGTTTATTCGTCAGGCAAAGTTTGGATTTCCTGTTTATAAGAGGATACAAACATTTAATATATTTGTTACATTTGGCTTGAATGCCCTCAATGTGATCTTTAAAAGTTAATTTTTGGTCAAGTATTAATCCAAGATATTTCACTTGGTTTGACCAGGAAATTGGAACTCCGTTCATAGTGACTATGTGACTACTACTAGGTTTCAAAAACGAAGCTCTAGGCTTATGTGGAAATATTATAAGTTGAGTTTTGGAAGCGTTGGGAGAAATCTTCCATTTTTGTAAATAAGAAGAGAAAATATCTAAACTTTTCTGCAGTCTGCTGCAAATAACACGAAGACTTCTTCCTTTAGCGGAAATGCCTGTGTCATCAGCGAACAAAGATTTGTGGCAACCCTGAGGCAAATCAGGGAGGTCCGAAGTGAAAATGTTATACAATATAGGCCCAAGAATGCTACCCTGAGGAACTCCTGCCCTAACAGGTAGTCGATTAGATTTGGAATTTTGATAATTTACTTGAAGAGTTCTGTCAGTTAAATAATTTTGAACTAATTTCATAATATAAAGTGGAAAATTAAACTTTTTCAATTTAGCAATCAAACCTTCATGCCAAACACTGTCGAATGCTTTTTCTATGTCTAGAAGAGCAACTCCAGTTGAGTGGCCTTCAGATTTGTTTGAACGAATTAAATTGTTAACTCTTAAGAGTTGATGAGTAGTTGAATGCCCATGGCGAAATCCAAACTGCTCATCTGCAAAAATTGAGTTCGTATTGATGTGAAGCATCATTCTATTCAAAATTATCTTTTCAAAAAGTTTACTTATTGAAGAAAGCAAACTTATTGGACGGTAGCTAGAAGCTTCAGCTGGATTTTTATCCGGCTTCAAAATTGGAACAACTTTTGCATTTTTCCATTTATCAGGAAAGTATGCCAAATGGAAACATCTGTTAAATAATTTTACCAAGAAAGACAAGGTACTCTCTGGGAGTTTTTTGATGAGGATATAGAAAATTCCATCATCACCTGGAGCTTTCATATTTTGAAATTTTTTAGTTATAGACCTTACTTCGTCCAAATCAGTCCCCCAGGAATCATCAAAAATATTTTCCCGAGAGAAAATATTCAGATAATCCCGAGCAACCTGATTCTCAATAGGACTAGTAAGACCCAAACTGAAATTATGGGAACTCTCGAATTGCTTAGCAAGTTTCTGAGCTTTTTCCAAATTTGTGATCAAAATTTTACCACCTTCTTTAAGCGCTGGAATAGGCTTTTGAGGTTTTTTCAAAATTTTTGTGAGTTTCCAAAAGGGTTTGGAACTCGGGTCTAATTTAGAAATATTATTTTCAAAAGTTTTGTTCCTCAGGGCAGAGAATCGCTTTTTAATTTGTTTTTGCAAATCCCGCCAGATAACTTTCATGGCAGGATCGCGTGTTCTTTGATATTGTCTCCTACGGACATTTTTAAGACGGATCAAGAGCTGAAGATCATCGTCTATTATAATTGAATCGAATTTAACCTCGCATTTTGGTACTGAGGCAGCTCTTGCTTCAACTATAGAAGTAGTCAGAGATTCAAGAGCATAATTAATTTCATCTTTGGTTTGCAAAGGAATGTTTGGATCGAAGTTATATTCCATAAATGTTCGATACCGCTCCCAATTAGCTCTATGGTAATTGAAAGTAGAGCTGTTGGGATTAGAAATTATTTCTTGGGATATTTCAAAAGTTACTGGAAGGTGATCAGAACCGAAGTCAGCATGGGTAACCAATTGGCTACAAAGTTGACATGAATCAGTTAAGACCAAATCAATAGTGGAGGGATTTCTTGCAGAAGAAAAGCATGTTGGGCTGTTTGGATATTGAATAGTGTAATAACCTGCAGAACAATCATCAAACAGAATATTACCATTGGAATTGCTTTGAGCATTATTCCATGAGCGGTGTTTTGCATTAAAATCACCAATAATGAAGAATTTAGACCTATGACGGGTAAGTTTCTGGAGGTCACCCTTGAGAAAATTCTTTTGCTGGCCTACGCATTGGAATGGCAAATAGGCAGCTATAAACGTAAGTTGTCCAAATTTTGTTTCAACAGAAACTCCCAAAGTTTCAAAAACTTTGGTTTCAAATGAAGAAAGAATTTTATGTTTGATTCGTCTATGAATAATGATG